ATTTTTTCTCGCAATGTCAAATCACCCAGATTACTTAATGATTAAAAATAAATCAGAAATTAAAACCTTTGAGTTAGGCGATTATCCCCAAATCTCTACAATTACTTACCAAGAAAAAAAAAATAATATAATTCAACGATCATTTAATTATTTTATAGAAGCTGAGGGATTTTATCCCTATTATCCTGAACTTCGCTATACTTTGCCTCCTAAAAAGTATCCAATCCCTAATGATTATTCCGTAAAAACCACTTGGGGGCGTGCTGAAAATCGGCAAACAGTCCAGTGCAAGATCAAGTACAAAAACGGACAACCAGAATTTCAAATTTTATATGGCGCCTTTTTTGAATTCGAAGTTAAATCAAATACATCAGTCAGCAAAGCTGTAGAAAATTATGAGAAGGCCATAACTAGAAATTCAAACAAAAAAGGTTCTTTATCTGGGCCTTTACTATTCGGATTACAACTTCAAAAACTTAGAACCGTTAGAGAACTTCGAGCTAGACAACATATCAAACCTGCGGAGCAATATTCTCAGAAAACTCTTATAAGGCATGCAAAAGAATTCGCAACAATACTTAAACAAGAATTTATTCGAACTAGTGAGCTTATATATAACACACAAGACTCTGTTTCATTAAAATCACTCGAATATACCATTAATAATCAAAATTATTATTTTAATATTGGAGATAAAAATCCTCTACAACAAAAAGCAGAGATCTTAAATATAATTAAAGTAATGGATTCCAGTTATATTTCACGAGATGCATATAGGGACTTAGCTGCAATAAATTTTCACTTACCACGTGAATATATTATTGCAAATGAACGAAATAATTTAACCCAGGAGATAATCAATAAGATTCAGATTAATCTTATAAATATGAATAAGGCAATAAACAATCCTAATTTGGAAGAAGAACCTAATCATATCGATATAATTCCTGATAATATCGATACTGATACTATTAACGTTAATGAAATCAGTAGATCTGAATATATAGGTGGACAACGTGACTTTAAAGAAATCCTTCGATACATAATTCCGTATTTGATGCAGGAAAATGTTTTGTCAGCTAATAATCCAACAATTCATATACGAATTTCTGGTGATGGTCGGAATGTAGGTCGAAAGGTAAAACACGTTATGATAACATTCATGATTCTTAATGATATAAAGAATCATCATATGCCTAATTACCACCATACTGTCGCTTTATATCCCGGAGTAGAAAAGTATGAGTTACTTGAAATTATATTAAATCCATTTTTTAATGATCTTAAAGATCTTAAAAATAATGGATTAAACGTTGCAGATATTCTTTGGAATTTTGAATTTTATTTTAGCAGCGACTGGAAATTTCTCTCTATTTGTCTCGGATTAAAAGCTGCGAATTCAAAATATTTTTGCGCATGGTGTTCTTGCTCTAAAGATAAAATTGGTGATGCTACGCAAGATTGGCGAATTACAAAATCAATAAATGATTTGAAAAACAACTATTCAAATACTCCAGGCCATATTAAAGCACCGTTGTTTGATATAATTCCATTATATAACTACGTCTTCGATGAGCTACATGTTCTATTAAGGATTGAGGATCGACTTTGGACTTTAATCTTATCAGAACTTAAGGAAAGAAATTT